TTTTTTTTTTAATTTTTCAAATCAGTTAGGTCATCATTAACTACTAGACACTAATTAAAGTCATGCTAAGATTTTTGATAAAGTGATAATGAGAACAACGTCACATAACGCTTAAATTAAGAGGACGCTATATCGCGGAAGAAAATTTCCATCGCAAATTCTTCTTTTCCTTCAATACTAATTTAAAAAGAAAGAAAGAGTAAATTCAGGCGAATCTAGAGTGCGTCATGAAGTTTCAATTTCTGAAAAAAACTACTTCAAACTATTAAAATGCAAACAAATTAATCCTACGTAATCATCTCATCATTTATTTTCATCAGTGTATTTTAAAATTTTCTTTACAGTATTCGAAACTTCATGGCCTACTCTAGGTTTGTCTGAACTCACGGCTTCTACACTCTAAATTTATAATGAAGGAGAATTTGTGACGAAAATTTTCTTTCTCGGTATGGCGTCCACTTTATTTATTTTTTTTCCTATCGAGTCAACACCGTAGTTTGAAGCGAAATGACTGAGTTGAAGAGTAAAGACATTAAATATTTACATTTATTTACAATTTATACACGACTCGTTTAGGTTAAAGGAGGCATCAAATATTTAAGATGCAAGTACGCAAAGATAAAATAAGGTCTTTGATATAGTGGTCAGTATCCCGGCCGGTCACGCGGGAGAACGGGGTTCGATTCCCCACCGGGGAACCACCCATGTGGAGAGCGTCACATCGACCCTGTCAAACTTCTTTTATGTAAAGGTACCCCAACATAGAATCGAGTTAACATTTTTTACATGCAAGTGAATCGGAATCGTATTTTTGTAGTGGTAGACACACTACAGTACTCTCCCATCATAATTACAGCTGTGATAGAATTCGATGAATGGATACCACTGGTTGATTCATTGCTGTTATGTGAAAAGCCGGGAAGGCTGTATTTAGATCACCGTAGTTTTGAGTGCTGATAGTGATAGCTGTATTAAGTTCACGTTCGCTAGTGTGTTGCCTTTAGCAGTCGATTGAATACGCTGTGCGTTGTGTGTGATCGAGACTGAGTAGCGATAGTGCGAGGAGGTGGATCATGTCGCAGTCACACGTAGCAAGTCAACTGTTTAATGTAGATCATCCACGGAAGTAGGCGGGTTCATATCGAAGTGGAAGTTTCTGTCAAGGTAGGAACGTTCCACATCACGTCCGGGTCAAAAGTGAAGCGAATCGAATGGGTTGAAGAATAAACACATTAAATATTTACAGTTAAGAAGGAATCAACCATAACATAAAAATAATTCGAATGCTGTGATTCAATTAGCTGTGAGAAATGAATGATTAAAATGAGTCTTTTTTTGCAGGATCAGCAAAGAAGATACATTGAGATAAAGCAGTCAGATATGCCAGCAGCCGTTGCAGCCAAGAAAACCAGAGAATTTAGATGCGCTCCAAAGGAACAGGTAATTATTCTTTATTTCACACTTTTAACGTTAGCAAGATTGAAGCAGGTTGATGCTGCCTATCTTTAAGCTATGTTTGCTCGATTTATGCTACAAGCACGCAGTTTATAACTGTTAAGTGTTGTTTTCTATTCAAGCCAACCTTCGAACTAAATACATGGTATATGCGAATTTGAAGAAATGTATTGATTGAATTTAGAAATGAATCGTATGAGCCATCGGTCTATTCAATAAGAAAAATAATTTTATGGATCTTTTTGTTTCACATGATGGTTGTCTAATGGCAATAGTTCCATTACTCCTAACTAGATATATTTTTGCTATTTCAAAATTATATTTATTTTAATTATAAAATTTGGTGAAAAGAAGTTAAATAATCAATAGAACTTCAGTAATATTTTTTTAAAATAATAATAATCTTCATTCTTTATCGCTGAATTCATCAAAATCTATAATCAACTCAATTTTTCTGCTCGCAGATCCGCAGTTTTATGTAGAGCTAAGCATCTTGAAACGCATGACATGTCTTGAAAGAAATAGTTCATTGTAAATGTTTGTCTTGATTTTGTGATCAAAGTTCTAATGATATTCCACTATGTTAGTTTTTTTTAACTTCATCTCAAAAAAAAAATTTCTTATTTTCTCTAATCATGAGCAAAATCTCTCATTTTCACTTCATAAGTTTGATATTTTTTTTCGCGGGTGCATGCGCAGTTCAACAGAACTGACGCATGCTCACTAAACGTTGGCACGCGCAATCACTTGAAATCTTTCGTGCGGAAGCGTAGTGAAGCTAACGTAAATTTGTAATATTTAAATGTTTTTGTTTTAAAGCTTTAATGGAATTGTTTATAAGAGAGCGGTAAAACTATGTCAAAGAAATAATTAAAAATATTTTGATGAATAGTGGTCGCACTACTTAGAAAATAATAAGTAAAAACCTGGCCAAAATTTTGTTTAAAAAGGAAATCCCCTTATTCCTAGATGACACTAGGGTCATTTTTTAGTTAACTTTAATGGGACAATTTTCTTAGAGTAGAGTCAAAATTTTTCTGACATGTGACAAAATTTTTCTGAAATTTTTCTGACAAAATTTTTCTAAAAAAGTGTATTTGTTCGTGGTTTTGGCCCTTAAGGGTTGATGATGCCACGTTTGAGGAAAGGTTTCGTGAGAGTTCGTGACAGGAGTCAGGGACGACACGATATGTCACGCATTCAAAATCAGCAGATTTAATATTTTTTTTTCCGTTGAAATGTGTAGACATCTAATTATTATTATTGTTACGATCATGAATGTCAACAAACCATGCAAATTTGTAGTATGGGTTTCAAAAGTATTCCTACCCCGACAAAAATTACTTTCTTCCACGGGTATTCTTAAATAATAGAAATAAGTCCAAGTTTCCTTTTCATAAATAAAGGCGATGAAAACCTTTCTCGTTTGTTATCTGCTTTGTGTTTATTTTTCTAAGGCTATTATTTTATTGCATTCCTTTGTGGGAGTGTGTTCAATAGATTGAAATGAATGTCTCGTGTAATTGTAGATGCGTGCAATCCTGTGCTTCAAGAATTTGGAGGAAGACGAGACAGACCAGTGTTCTTGTGGGGAAGAGTTGCGGGATACACTCATTCAATATTACGAGGAATTGGTGGGACGGGTGAAAGGTGCCTGCTCCCCAGAAGATTCAGGGGAGGGCGAGGAGAAATCAGAGGAGCCCTCCAAACCCTGGACACAACGTCTCTTAAATATAGTCAAGATGGTCAAAGCTGCTGACCAAGAAGAGCAGCCAGAAGAAAAGGAAGGACCCAGGCCTGAAGGTTTGCCATTCATTTAATGTCATCTTTTTTCGTTGTTGTTATATTTGACATAAAACCAATACCAGGTAATTTTTTTTTTCATTTATTTAAACTCAACATGGGAGTAAGTATGTGATATCTAAGCATTATTTAAGCAAATTTCATAAGGCATAAAATAAAAGTAAATAAATTTTTTAAAAAAATAACGGCGAATAACTGAACTTCTTTGAGTGTTCTCTCGAACAAAGTTTATGTAAAAGCTATTTTAAGTGACGTACATTTGCTCTGTTCTAAATGTGTAACGATTGAGTTTCACTCAAAATTATGCGACTTAAAAAGGATGATACGTGAAGAAATGGTTCAAAATGTGTCTTACCTATGATTAAAATGCATCAACTGATTTTTTTAAAATGTAATAATTGCTCTTTTTTTTATTATTAATAGCATTTTTTTAAAAATTGTGCGTTATTACTATTTTTTAGATTTTAAACTATATTTGCGCTTTGTGCATCAGAGTGGGAACAGTACGCAAAATAAAAACATATCAATCTAAATAACTTTAGTTCGTATCATCGGATGTCCTCGAACTAAGTGCCAATCTCAATGATTCAAAAGGATGACCTCAAATAAGTTAAATATAAGCAGTGCTATCTATTCATTTACATAAACAGTTATAAAATAAATTTGCAGATTAATTATTCCCAGAAAATGTGATTGTATATCGTAATTTAGAGTTCACACCGACAATAAAAATTTATTGCTCCAAAAACTTTATAGGGTAACTTAACTAAAACTAAACAAAGGGGGGGGAACGAACACAATCAATTACATAATTAATGTTATGGTTCATATCAAAAATTAATAATTGCCACCTAGAACACCTTAAAACAAATTAGGTTCATTACCCTGTAATGATTAAAGATTAGTATTTATTAAAAGTGAAAAAGAAACTAGAATAATATCAGTAAATAGAAAGTTGAGAGCTAGCAAAGTATTACAATAATTAAATATCTAAACATTATAATGAAGTCAATTCTAAGTGAGCAAATAATATTGTTTTTATGGATGAATAATAATAATTTCAAAAAAAAATTTTTTTTTTAAAAATTCTTACTATTTGTAAATTTAAGGCGATAAATTTGTTGCTTATGCGTATGATTTTAGCAGCATTTGTCGAACGCTTGGTGACAACTGGCACCGGGAAAAAATATTTTTCATCCTCGACCCTTCGATACATCAGAAACAATTCAACCAATTTCCATTTCTCCTCTACGAGATTATAAATGATCAAAGTATCTGCAATTTAGGGCATTATTATTTATTAATTTTTATAAGCTTCATACGTTTAAAACCGTCTAGTTGAAGATTATTTTCTCGAAAAATGTGAAAAAGCGGATTGTCGAGAATTAACTTAATATTATTTTTTATTTTTAGCAGCAGCTCTTGATGCATATGTCATTCTCTGGACAGTGCAACCCTCCACATAAGCATACTGGAAGAATAAACATTGAGCATAAAAATTATTAATATCAATTATCAAGTCGTGGTCGCTTAGGTTATAGAGCGTTCGTCCCCCCCCCCCTCAATGAAGTGAACCTGGTTCGAATTCCAGCGATGGTTGATCGATACGAATTTTGCATCCGGCTTGTACCGACCACAATACTGGCGTAAAATATCCTCAGTGGTAGACAGATCATGGTTTAAGACTCCCCTTGCCGTCAGGCTAACTGTGGGAGGTTCTCGTGGTCTTTCTCTCCATGTAAGGCAAATGCGTTTTAGTTCCGTTAAACAGTCCTCCACAAAAGCAAAATTTCTCCCAATACTTAATCCTGACGTTCCCTTGTCTTCTGAATTGGTTTCAAAATTACAAGGCTATAGCGCTGAACATGGGTCGCCGTGAACTCAAAATTGGGTCGGCTGTTTAGCGGCGGTTATAAAAAAAGTTTCAATCATCGCAAAAGAACAATGAAAGAAATATTTTCGAAGGTAAGTATGAAAAACCTGTTTTTTTTTAAAAAAATAAAATAATAAATATCAGCAAAAAAAATATTAAAAAAAATAATAATTAATTCAAACTTTATATTTTTGAATTTGGAAAAGTCATTTTAACACATTATTTCACTCAATGTAAGGTTTCAAAAAATGCAGTTGAGTTAAAAATAGGCCAATGAAGCTTTAAAAATATCCTATTAAATATCATAATAAACAAAATTCCTTAAAAAATGGGTTTATAAAAATAAATAATCAAACTTACCTTCTTCTCTCCTCTTTGCCTAAAAATGAGAAAAATGCTCCTCCTCCCTATTATGAAATAGCGGCTGACCATAAACTTGTTTATTTAAAGGGGGGGGGAATCTCAAAATTTACTTTCTAAAATGTTATGACAGGAAAAATTTTAAAAATTAACAAAAGTGAATTAAATGTTTTGGAAACCAGGATCTTTAAGAAAAGGTTATTCTTTGAAGTTTTTGATCATTGAAATATGTCGAAAAAAGTGGGAAACTAATTTATTTAGTTAAAAAAAAATTAATATAACAAGTTGTTTCAAAAATGACTTTTTATATTAATGAAGGAAAAAAAAGTTGATTTGTTTTTATAGACATGGTGTAACGCATCATACTCGTCGCCTTTCACACATGATCTTATAACAAACATGCGAGGGGAAGCGTGTTTTACAGAAAAAGAGAAAGAAAAAGAATGTATCAGAGAGAGAGAGAGAGAGTAATGATTTCTGGCATTTATGTAAAAACAATCGTTTTAAGTTGCGGCAAGTAAAGAGTTATGTAAAGGCACTGTAACTAATTTTATAACTGATGTTTATTTAAGTTTTTAAAACTAAATACAAAAGCATCTGAAATTGATTTCGTTTTAACGAATTCAAGGACTTAACTTATTTTAAACTTATAATTTGCTTTTTTAGACCCATTTTCTAAGAAAAAATTATTATTTGTGAAAAAATGTCGAGTTTTCAGAAGAATTTCTAATTATTTATTTTGAATCCACCATTAATTTTTGCCTATAATTTTATATAATATCTAATTTAGTAAAGCTGTAATAAATTGCACTCGCTTTTTGAGTTGCATAATTATAAAATTAAACTTGTTTGTTATCACTTTTGAACTATTGAAGTAGTTTCAATAAAATCTTCATTCTAATTAAAATGGAATAAAATAATTACGTTAAAGTAAATTGGATCGGATGATTTAAAATCTTAATTTTTTATTGAAAATGAATAAAATAATAAGGTTAAAGTAAAGCGCCTCGTATAATAATGAAACTTTTTTTTCTTAAATTTTTATTTTTTGAAACTGTTAAATTTTGGAAACGTTTCATTAAAATCTACATTTTAATTGAAAATGAATAAAATAATAAGGTTAAAGTAAAGCACTTAAAATGTACTAATTGCTTTCTCAGGTCTATTTTTTCAGATCTATCTTAATTTATTATTTGCGTAAAAGTATAGATTTCTTTGTGAATAATTTTACATATGCATTTAAAATTCAAAATTATCACTTTTTTCTGAATCAATACCAATAAAACGTTTCATCGTTATCGATTGAAGTTAGTTATCTTTTATACAGTAAAATTTAATTTCTAGAAAGATTGAGTACTTTTAAAAAAAAAAGCTTTGCTTGATATAATGATGTCCAACCACTAAATATATTCAGGAAACTTTCAATGCTATAGAAATGTTTAATATTCTAATAGGCTAACGTTTTCCTATTTCCACCCTTTTATGAAGAGTTTTCACGTGGCTTAAAAAAGAATATTTTTAGAGTCGTCTGAAGTATAAAAAGTATACGCTAGAGAGCCAACACATTTAAAGCAATTTAAAACAAAAATGATAACGAAATTCGTTGAATGACTAAAGAAGAAAGCGGAGCCTTTTAAAACATGGCTGAAGAAGAGGATGGTTGAAAGGCAATAAAGAGAACAAGCTTTCTTAAATAGCTTTGGTTGTTTTGATCTCGCTTTCCTCACTAGTTATTTGTCAGTTTTCAGTAGCCTTATCTCTTCTTCCCAAAATGCCTGTCGACTTTGAAATCACGTTTGACACGGACTTTTATTTATTTGACTTTTTAATTCATCCTGTACGAAAATTAAAAATATTCTAGTAGTTGAACGCCTGGGACCTTTGCAGGCCATGGATCATGATCGCGAGTGATCTTTAGGTGTGAATACAATAATAAAGACTAACGTTCATAGATCTATTCTAATCATTCAAACTTTAATTACAGTAATAGAATTTGCATACAGTCATGATTGCATGCCATTAATTATTTGTAAACAATTACCCTCTGTCACACTATGCACAAATTAAATGGATGTATATATTTATTTCTCTTAAATACCATTTCAGATTTAAAAAGTCTTCGCTTCGCATCCAAATGTATGCTAATTATTGTATCAATATTACTTATCTTATAGTTCCTTATTGTTATATATTAGTACACATAGTAATTAGCTTATCTAATTAATTTAATAACTATTGAAAAGCATTATCTCATTTCTGTAAAATAAATTTAAGTAATTAAACGAGCTTTATGCAGAAAAACAAATGATGGATGGTGGGTTGATGTTCCGTTTCCATAGCAACGTTTATATTTTGTACATTCGATTTTAATTTAAAGATATGATTTTTTCTTTTTCTTATCGAATCAGATAAAAATGAAAAGAAAGATTTTTTTTCAAATAAATAATTAAGACTATTCGTCTTTCTGTTGAAAAATATGATAATGATATGTGTTTAAAAGAAAACAACGAAAAACACACACGTTTAGTTCGTCCAATGGTCAGAAAAACTACATTCTTTTTGTAGTTTACAACAACAACTACTTAGTTACAAATGAAGTTAACTACAAATACTTTTTCTTAAATGTAGTGATTACAAACTACTTTGGAATTAGTAACTACTTCACCATTTTAAGGACACGAAATTCGATGGAGAATTTAATTTACACTTACGTTTGAAAACGAAATTGTCTTACATTAAGTATAAGAGAATAACTAAGAAATATTTATTAATAAAGTTTACAGTAAATTATTAGACGTACAATAATAGTTTATGTAAAATCTTAATCGTCAAGTAATACTATACAGCTTTATTATTTATACGCGACTGAAACCGGTTTGCACTAGTTCGTGTATCAAGTGGGGTTGACACTGTCATGCAGTACGTTAAAAATAAATACAAATAGGAAGTACATAAAAAATCTCCTCAATAAGCGTCCATTGCATGTATGTTTAAGTATAAAAGTATTACACAGAAAACTCGTGCCATTTCATGTCATTATTAAAACTCTACAGCGCGTTTCATAATTTGGTCCAATTATTATAATATAATGCTTGATATAATAATTATTCTATATTTATGTAGTATATCGTCAAGTGCATACCGGTTTCAGTCACGTAAAAACAGTATAGTATCACCCAGAGCCGGATTATACCTTTCGTAGGCCCTAGGCATAGCCCTCCCCTCCTTCCCCCACTCCTCCCCTCTTTTCAAAATATATGCTAAAATTTTCTTGCATATTTTTTTAAACATTTTTATTAATATGGATTTTAATTTACAAATTTGTTTATCGAACTTTATCTGCAATACCGACATACTGCCGATATTGCAGTTGATATCGATAATACCATTATGATTAGTTCGATCGATAACTATGCAAACACTTCATAATTTTGTGCAAAATACACTTGTTGTATTTAAAGCTAAATTATTTTTGTCAACAAATTTTTTTTCTCCCAAGTCTTTCGTAGGCCCCTGAATTTCGTAGGCCTAGGCGCGTGCCTAGTGTGCCTATAGGATAATCCGGCCCTGGTATCACCTGATAATTAAGATTTTGCGTAGAATATTATAGTTCGTCTAATAATTTGGCCATGGACTGTATATTATCAAACTGGCGTGAACAATCAATAATTGCCCTTTTTTTTAAAAAAAAAAAAAATAATTCTTTAACATGAGAGTTTCTTTTCAGAACTTTTACAGCGAAAGATTGTGGTGACACTCGTGAAATGGGCTGAAGAGAGTGAAATTGAGAACAGAGAATTAGTCAGACAAATGTTCCATCTACTTCTGAGGGCATTCAATGGAATAGGGGAGGTGAGTAGAAACATAATATTCCTTGCGGAGATGATTTCGTTATAGCTTAGTACCGCCATTCAGGGCCCGAATTAGCCTAATTGCCCCCCCCCCCCTCTGCTTCNAACGGCGATTGAACAAATCCGAACTTCAAGCACGTGGCACTGAATTGACGACACTTCTTTTCGTTAAACGAGATTGATGGCTGCAGCAAATTGCAGACGATAAAAGAAATCAACTATTTCTCAAAATTAATAAATTATTTACTATAAAGAGCTAATTTGCTCATGTACCTGGCCAAAGAAAAAACGAAATCGAATCGAAACATGGGAAAGCGCATGCATGTCTGCCAAAATCTTTATTATGATTTAATAATCCCTCCTATTATTTTTGAGGATCTTAATAAAACAAAAAAAGAATACACTCGAATTAAAAAAAAAAAAGAATCATAATAATTTCCTCTCGTTCTATAATAATAATTTTCCTCTTATTTGTACTCTACAAAAAAATTAAACAACAAAACACTTTTGATTTAAAATTAATGATCGAATACGAGTATCAAATTAACGTCGTCCAATAGTTCAGAACCCCGCGTTAAAATCTAAGAATAGATCTAATGAATATGTAATTATCGAAGGTCAGCGCCAGACTTGATGAAAATAAAACCGCTAATTTATTGCTGGATAGTCAAAAAAGAAAGTTTTTCGATTTATTCAAAATAAATGAGCCGTTACCAGAAATAAAAAAAAATGACGAAACAAATTTTCGCCAAACGTCATAAATGAGTGTCGAACAAATTCGTTTTATTGCTGGTACAAATGGTGTATCTAAATTCTTTTTTATTTAATATTAATTTCAGATTTTATTTATTAAATTAATCTTAATTTAATGAATAACAGCCCCCCGGGGGTGGGGAAGTATCGTCCCCGTTGAGAAACAATGCTATAGGTGCAATGCTCCATACAACAACATATTTCTTCTCCATAATTTAAGATTTCTAAGATATACAATTTTTTATTTTATTTTTTAAAGACATAATTTTATATTTTTTATATTTACTCATTTATGACACATTTTATATTTTTAAAAATATAAAATGTGTCAACTAAAAACATAAATATGTCTTTATTATCACATCAAATAAATGCTTTATAAAATATAGAATGTGTAAAAAAAAAAAAAAAAACTTGGTTTACTTTTATGTTATGTTTTGGCTATATTGATGCAATATTAGAAAAATCTCTTTTTTGTGGATATAATCGTGTGAGCTGATGAAAAGATTATCTTTTATTTTCCGGACTTTTTATAATTTTTTGTTTTTTTTTTTTTCTTTTCGGTTTTTTGTTATTTTTGTTTTCATTATTATTTTTCTTTCTTTCCCCTTTTTTCATTGTTCTGTAATTTTTCCCTTGTTTTCTCTACATTTTGAAATATATATATATATATATATATATATATATATATTGAACTAAATGTGTTAAAAATATATTCATTTCTTTGGGACAAAGTCTGTATTATTGTGATTATCATTTTTTTTAAACAAGTTTCNTGTTTTCATTATTATTTTTTTCTTTCCCCTTTTTTCATTGTTCTGTAATTTTTCCCTTGTTTTCTCTACATTTTGAACTATATATATATATGTAGTTCAAAAATAATGAATATATATATATATATATATATTGAACTAAGACTATAGACATAAAAACAGATAATCAAAAAAAAAAATTTATTAAAGTATAAATAATTCCGTAAAAAAAGACATAAATGAAGTAATCTGAACTACCATAAATCTAAACTATTATCTGAAAATTTAATGGCATGAAATCGATATAATAGACATTTTGATTATGAAAATTTCAACTAAGGAAAAAATTAAAGTATTTTTAGATAATGTTACTCCAGTTTAACTCATAATAACTTCATAAAGCGGTATATAATGACTTACTAGCCCAACAACCTTGATTAGCGATTCAAATATTAAAATTAGTTGCTGTTTCTTTTTATACAAGCAAAATGTTAAGCAGAATCTGTAGTTTTCAACTGACATAAAGCTGATTGTAAATATATGTTTGACTCACCAAAAATGACTGTTTATAGTTCGAAAACAAAACATTACTGTTGGGGGGATATCTTACCCATATTATAAAAGTTAACTAGTATTGTGTAGATAACGTGGAATGTTTAAAAAACCATTTCAGTTCTAAAAAAAACCTTTTTTTCAGATAATGGGAGCCATGGAGAATACATATACCATCAGTTCTACAAGCAAGGACGACGTTGTCATTCTTCTTGGTTACCTACAAAGGGTAAGGGCACTCCTACCTGTACAAATGGGACCTGAAGAAGAGGAAATCATGCGCAACAGTTTGTGGTAATTATTCATTGCATTACTCGATACCACTCACATTCCACCGCTATTTGAAGTGCAATCCCCACAAATCACATTAAGGCTAGAAATTAAGAAAGTGAGCCGCTCAGGGGATAGAGCATTCACCTTCCAAGGAGGGTTCAAATCTCAGCGATGGCTGGTGGATATGAATTCTTGTACAGACCACAGTGCTGACGTGAAATATCCTCAGTGGTAGACGGATCATGGGTTAGAGTCCCCTTGACGTCAGGAACCTAATCGTGTGAGGTTCGGAGAGTGGAACATTAGAAGTCGTAAACCCGAAAAATTGGGTTGACTGTTCAACGACGGGTACAATATAAAATAAAATTGGCTAACGTAAGACTAATTCCGCGGACTACTTAGATGAATCTGGTAGGCGGAGATAAAAACTGGTCAGAAAAGTGTTTTTGGATAAATAAATATAGGATAATTATTAAAGTGAGCTGAAAAAAAAGATACGCCTAAAGAAGGAAGGCACACACACTTTTAGCTTTTTAGGAGGGCTGTTTTTTTGAATAAGGTCCGTTTTGTTGTGTACACTAATAGGTGGCGAGTGCGTCGCAACGAGTACTTGCGTCGTGTCTTTGCCACTCATTGGGAACAACTATGCCCAGTTACAGCTGTATGGGTAACGGTCAGTTATGAGTCTTTAAAATGTTCAAGTTAAACGAATCATCCACCGAGTAAGGATGAGTTTTCAGTCGGCAAAAAAACTTGTTTGCTGCATACATTCACCAGAGGAAGTTTACGAAGCTTCCTACTAACAGGACATTTTGTTAATCCATGATAATGACCACCTCAGTCCCGAGCTTCATTGAATTCTTTTGTGTGAGAAGTTTTGGATCACCCCTCCATACAGGCCAGATCTTGCGCTAACTCATATTTTCCGATGTTCCAAACATCATTTTGATGGCGACCAACGTTGACGTGGAAACGGTCTCTTGGTTATCGGAGCAGACGCCAAGTCACTGGGAAGAGGGTATTCTAAATCTAGCTGTAAGGTATGATAATTGTTTAAGCAACTATTTTGAAGAGAAAAAAAAGAGAAACGACTAAGCTTATTTGCGTCGTTTAAATGAGTACATTTATGCAGTTTTGTTTATTGTTATCAAAATCATATTGAATTCCAAAGTGAATGTATAAGTGCTTATTATTTAAATTCTATTTCAGGGCTATGGTGAGCAACAGAGTGTTTTTCCAGCATCCTGATCTCATTCGAATTTTGCGCGTCCACGAAAATGTTATGAAAGTGATGATCAACACTTTAGCTAAAAGGGCTCAAAGTGACTCTGGTCCAGTAAGTAATTCTTAAATCAAGTGTTTGTCGGTAAATAAGTAGAGGGTTATAGATTAATAAACGCACATAAATATTAAAAAATAGCTTTTATTAGACATTTTATTTGTTTTTTTTTAAAAAACGTTTCGATAGGATGGACTGGCACAGAGTCGACAACCCAGACATACTTTGTCTCTGCGGTTATGATTTCATTTTTTTTAGATCAAGTGACAGTGGATCACTTGTCGATGTTGGTTCTAATGACCAGTTTTGTACTAAACAGGTTAATTCTCTCCTTATAAACCTCGATAGCTTAGAGGACAGAGCGTTCACCTTCCAGTGAGGTGAACCGGGTTCGAATCCCAGCGATGACCGGTCGATAAGAATTCCGCACCGGGCTTGCACCGACCACAGTACTGACATGAAATATCCTTAGTCGTAGATGGATAATGAGTTTGATCCCTTACCGTGAGGCTAACCATGGGAGGTTCTCGTGGTCTTCCTCACCATGTACCGCAAATGTGGGTTAGTTCTATCAATATGTCTTCCACGAAGAGAAAGTTCTCCCACTACTTGATCCAGGAGTTCCCTTGTCTTCTGGATTGATTTCAAAATAACAAGGCTTCGTAGTTAAACATTATGAGTCGTAAACCCAAAAATTGTGTCGGCTGTCCAACGACGGTTATAAAATAAAAATAAATAAATAAAATTCTCTCTTTATAAGGAACACAGATTCAACCATTGTTTCATCGAGATAAGATAGTGGAAAGGCTGATAAACAAGGGCATAAATAAAAAAGGCGTTCCTGTAGCAGAAGAAATAAATACAAAAAATAGTGCGTGGAGTCCCTCCGTGCGGAAGAAGTTAAACTTCGCAACCTGCGACGTTAATTGTAGAAGAAGTAGCAGTCGTAGAAGGATCACTAGTTCTATTCAACAACTCTTTTTCCAGCTCCGCTCGCTTCCGTGATCTGCAATCATGGTAATATTCTTCATTTTTCCCTCGTGGACCTCTTGAAACAGTGCTTGTGGTTACCTCATCGTCTCGCCCTGGAAAATGTATTTCTATTAATAATGTATGTGAATGAGTCATAATGTAGTTTCAGAAGAGAAGCAATCAATTGATATTCACAAGAGACGTACCTTGACATAACCTTAAATCCGTCGCCTTGTCCGTGGGATTGTTTTCACTCATTTTTTTACAATTGTTATCCACTGAATTTGAAAATGAAAAATACTACCCTATTAAATTATATGTGTATCAAAACAAAGTAAAAAAAATATTTACAGAAAAACAATACTTTTATTATTTTTATGCTAGTGAGAACCAAAACAATATGGAAATGAATGAGGGAAAACTGGATCCTACCACGTGATTTCCCGGCCAATAAAAATGTAGCGTTAAACGTTTAACGCAATCTTGTTGGAAGTCGCATAAGAAGCATAACTTCAAAAAGTCAGCTCTGATTTGCACAAGACTTCCAACATGTTGGGGAGAGTCCATAAATTAAATGTCTTTCTTTAAAATCATGTTTCAAATCATTAAATCGTGGTGAGATAAAAATTTCCAGCAAATCATGTTACATTCTTCTTCAGAATCTCATGGCTGGAATAATAATAAACAACAGGCCCTCTTCTGTAAAAATAGTAATAAGAACTCTGTGTTATTATTTATCGACAAAGAAGAAAGTATTTGACTAAAAGTCTAATTCAGTCCCTGTTATGAGACTCACTCTAAGATTCTATGAAATGAAATTATAATTACCAGGTGACACTCTAAACAGCTGTATTGTTTTTACTCGGATGAAACCAGTTTGCATTTGTTTACACTCCTGTATAATTTGGTGAACATTGTAATGCAATTCGCTGAAAATAAATAGAAATGGAAAGTATGTTAAAAGTCTCTTGAATGACATGTATGTTTAAGTGTCGCCTATAATATCGTACAAATCATATAACTATTCAAATAATAACTTATGATCTAATTATTATAATACTAGCCGCCTAAGGCGACCAGCTGTCCGCCACGCTAAATACTTCTTGGGCTCTAGAATTGCTTGTCGAAGTTCGGTCATGTTCCATCCTTCTTTGACGTTACACAGACGTTTCTTGGGTCCTTCTTCTTCTTTGAGAATCTCTTAATATCTCTTTCTTTGACAAAATACAAAGTGCGGTTCTGCCATGTCAGTAATCGGGACGCATTAGCATACATTTATAAGAGTGGACAAAAGTATATGTATTTTTTAATAGTTTTTTGAATATGGCTCTTTGAAGACGAAAAAGAATAGATTTTCTTACAAAATGACTGATAGCTAAAAAGCTAATCCAAATTTTTGAAAAAAGAAAAAAAAAATACTTCTTCATTATGTCAAAACACAATTATGTGCCGAGTTTCGTGCCTGGGCGAGGCTTCTGGGGCGATATATTGTGATTACAGACACACACACACACAGTTGCGTTTATTATTATGTATATAGATAATACCTGATATAATAAATAATTCTTCATATATCAGTAAACTTGCATCGTTTCATTCAACCAAACTGATACACGAGCGTAAGCAAGTGCAACAATAAAGCTCACTGGTATCATTAAGATTTATATAGAATCTCATAGTGCGTCGCATTATTTCGACTGTATGCTCGTATGTATATATTGAAATTGAGGAATGTTTATTTTGTTCTCCCAAATGAGGAATTTACTAACTTCTGAAATATTTGTTTTTTTTTCCTTCCCCAGAATACTTCACACGAGATGGTGGTCGCTTGTTGTCGTTTCTTATGTTTTTTCTGTCGAACCGGAAGACAGAACCAAAAAGCCATGTTTGAGCATTTGGGATTTCTTCTGGAAAACAGCAATATTCTTCTATGTAAGTAATTTATGCTTTGCAGTTAAACATTTGTTCTCTAAAACTGGCTCTAAAAGCATTTATGAAATTTGAAAGTTTTTAAATTTTGGTTTTAGAGGAAACAATATTAGTCAAGACGGTGAACTCTCCTCCCCATTGGCCCTTTCACTGTAGAAGAAAAAGCCAAATTTATTTGCTTTAAAAAAAAAATTTGAAATAAAAAATCTAAACCAGTGTTTTAATTTATTTTATGTGATGTAAAGGAAAATTATTTTAAGATTGAAAATTTATGATTTTCAAGATTTTTTCTCAAATGCAAAGAATATATAAATTTAAATGTTTTAAAACTTTTGTTATTAAATTAGTTCTGAAATTATATTTATTTCTTCACAAAATATTTTCATAATAGACCTGTTAGAAAATTTAACTTCCTGATTAAAAGTAGTAATAGATTTGTGTTGAGTGATTTTTACAGCAACGACGGGTATTCTTTATTTGTTGCTCTCGCTTTATAATGCAATCCCTATTGTAGATAATTATTTTTGAATTTCCATTATTTGAATTGATCTGCCTGTAGAAACAGTCTTGCTTTTTCAACTAAGTTAAAAATATTTTTGGTGCATTTCTCATTAGCGGTCAAAATTTATATTTATGGTGTTCTGCCATCAACATAATTTTTTCTGGTTTTTCACATAGATAGAAAAAAACCAAAATTAGTTTTTTTTTAAGAGGCATTTAATAGGAGTGTTCTTCATGTATATGTGCTCTCTTTCATAACTCTATCGAAATTGTGTTGAAAATAATTTAACACTAAACACACCATAAACAGTCAAATGACCGTTTAAGAACTTTTGCCTCAAAAATGATTTTATCATTTTTGCCCATTTGACTTCATGATTTTTTCTAACAATTATATACATTTAATCAGTGGCGTACGCAAGGGAGGGGTTTAGGGGTTTAAACATCCCCTTGAGCTCAGATAAAATGGCAAAAATAAAAATTTTAATAGAAATTATGCGGGATATTATTTTTTAAGACTATATATTTTTATTTGCCTTATGCATACTTTTTTTTCTCACGGTATTTCTCAGAAGTCCTCAAAGTGTTACTTCCCATCCATTTGACATTAGACTTTTTTCAGAAGATATTACATTATGTTCCTAAACTTAAAAAATCAAACCAAAATTTAACTAAACAATGTTGTCTAAATAAAAAGTCAAAATTATCTAGCTGTCTAAATTAGGGAAATAATAGTGCTTTATTACAGACTCGAATTTCTTGTAGTAGTGTCAGAAAATTATGAACACCCCCTTGAAAAAATTCTGCGTACGCCACTGCATTTAATATTCCTTTTTTTTGTATTTTGTTTGCTTGGAAAAATGCTTGTCGTATACCTATTTTTTCCACAACCGGTCATCGGGAGAACAATTTTATTGTTTTATAACGTTATCGGATCAGAAATAACGGTGTAATGCGTGTTCAACGTATTGCATTCGATGCAAAGACTGTTACGTTGTTAGTTCAATCAGAATAACTGTGAATTTAAATTTCAAGAAGGAACCTAACATTTTAGATTGGCATTTTTGTGTCAGAAAAAAGTGATAAACTCAATATTTTGGTCGGTAACTTATATTTTATGTTGATAACTTTACTTCATTTCTAACTGTTTTTATGCGGAAAAATGTCGAAGCAATTAAGACAGCACAAGTTCTTACAAGAAATAATATTAATCATAAGAATAATAATTTTTATCCATTCTTATAATTATAGAAGTAATAATAATTGGAAGAAATATGTTTGTTAAAATGTAGAATTTGAAACACCCTGTATAATGTAAAAAATTGCGTTGAGTAATGAATTAAACATTCTTTGTGTTTGTAATACATATACAATTTTGTTTCATTATGATAAGTTTTTTTAGTTTATTTCTTTCCTAACAACCCTATTTCCTTTATTCAATGAAGAAAGTCCGGCCATTTGACGGTAGAAATAGGTATTTATCAAGTGTTGGTGTGTTAAGGCACTGATTGAAAGGTTACATAACGTTCGCGCATTTACCTAACGTTAGTTTTGAAATAATTCTATTGAAGTAAAGTAATATTAACGTTAAGAAAAATAATAAAATAGCTAACGAGTTACTTCTAAATTTCCGTACGGGATGAAACGTAGATCTGCAAAATCTCTCTACGGCCACCTTTATTTATTTCGTATCCCTGGACGCATCTATGAACAAGTGTGACTCATTTGATAGTCCCAGAGACAATAAAGGCACCTTCATGAAATTGCTGCACGGCATGATTATGATCTGATGGTTCTATAGTTCACTTCTGAGGCATTTCCTTTTTGTCATGATTACTTTTAGATCGAATTAAAAATAATAGCTTAAAATAATATAATACAGTTCATGAGCGCGAAATCACTTAACGTGAAACACATGCAGCAATCAACTATTGTTGTAATTTACATGTTAAGCATGCTGATGTTCGATTAACATGAAAGAAAACTAGCACTAATAATATAGCGTGTGAATAAAGTGCCAATGATTCATCTTGAAAACATGCTATTTCTATTTTTCCTCATTGTTGCAAGTAGCATATGGACAAAAATATATAAATGGAATAGAATCTATATTATATAAAACGCTAATACGTACGTATGTATGTATCAATAAAACCAATGATATTTCTTTTCTCGCGCTGGCAACAGTTTTCATTTTTAATTGATTGGATTCGGCGCGCAAGAGCACGTAGTGAGCAACCAGATAACAATAACCAGAGTGAGCATTATCAGGTTGTTCAATTCAGATTCATGCACTAAAAACATGACAATATTTAATTTAAACTCAATTAGGAATTAATTAATTAATTGAAGTGAGAATGCTTTAAAAGGCCGCTGTTGAATTGATATTTTTCTACTGGGAGCTACCTAAACGTCTAAAAAACGTTTAAGTGTTTGTATTGAATGCATTGAATTTTTTTATATTTCGCGTTTATTTATGCATTGAATTTTCACGCTTTAAAATGCAGAATATTAGTGAAGCAATATTTGATAATTTATTTTGCTAATATGTTTCTTATTTAGCTAATGTTTTGATTTTTTCACCATGTACAATCTAAATAGCTAATATACTTTTTTAAAAGCCAATAAGAACATTGGTAGAATTCTTCTACATAAGTACAATACTATGTCTTTGATGATAAAATACTATGTCTTTGATGATAATATATTATGTCTTTGTGCTAGAACATTGTGTTCATTGGCGAGCGAGCGCAGCGAGCCATGGTTCACGGCGTGAACCACATAGGATTGCGTAGCAATTCTCGGGGGTTGGCGAGCGTTAGCGAGCAGGGGGCGGAGCCTCCAAGTAGTTAAGCTTATTTTAGTTTGTTTGGTACATACCAGTATTTTTCATATGCAGTAATCATAACGTAATTTCATGATGTATCGTATGAGATGAACGTGAAATAACGAGATTCGACATTATTATTTTTCAGCTCGACCTTCGTTGAGAGGTTCGACGCCCCTCGACGTCGCCTATTCCTCCCTCATGGAGAACAGTGAGCTGGCTCTGGCACTGCGAGAACATTATTTGGAGAAGATTGCCATCTACCTCTCAAGGTGTGGACTACAGTCTAATCAAGATCTACTGGACAGAGGTTACATCGATGTGGGATGGGATCCCGTGGAAGGAGAACGTTACCTCGATTTCCTTCGATTCTGTGTCTGGGTCAACGGTATGTCTTTTCTATTTCATTTTATAGTTGAGTTTAAGACAACCTTGTAACTCCTGTATTGGGAGAAATTTATCTTCCTGGAGGATTTGAGTTACATGAAGAGAGGAAAACCTCCCATGGTTAACCTAACGGCAAGGACACTCTAACTCAGTGTTTCCCAACGTGGAGCCTACGCCCCAACGGGGGGGGGGGCAATTCGATTGTAAAGGGGGGCAATTTAAAAATGGACTCGACATGAGTTTAAACCTTTTGCTCTGGGCCATTTAAATACAATGCGAGATTTCGGTGACAAAATCGAAAGAAAAAATCAAATTCTTAAATAATTGCGGTCAATAAATATTATGTGACTTAGGGATTTTTTAAGCGACAAACCTGAAATGAAGTATGTTTACAGTCGATGGTCAAGCATTTGTGAGTTATTTAGCCAATATCATTTACTTACTTTGTTTCGCTAACAATTTCAGAAGTTTCTTAAGTGAACAATTCGATTTTTTAATATTAAAAATTATGTATATGTTACATAGGTGGGCATAAGAATTTTAGAAAGGCTTAGGTGGGGCATGGTACAAAAAAGGTTGGGAAACACTGCTCTAACTGTTTCCTTAAGACAAGTGTCTTCTCTGGGCGTCAGCGGAAAGTACTCCAACAAAATATCGTTTTGTAAGCTCAGAGTGAGCAGTCGTTCCCACACATGCGTTAATGACGTAAACAAATATTTATTTTGATTTCGTAGTTCGTTCCTATAATTTTATGCGTTATTGTCGACCAGTGCTTTAGGGGGGGGGGGAAGATGAATTTTCAATCTTTGTTTTCAAGCACGGAATCTCTGTAAGATTTAGATTTTATAGTACTATACAAATTAGGTCATTTTTTTAATTTCAGAGATTAATTTCTCCTCGAAATCTTGACCGATTTCAATGCTCTGTTGTCAGCCATTGCTTCTGTCGTTAACGTTACGTTGTAATCCAACTGCAGTTGTCGTTCAAGATGACGTGCGCTGTCTAACTCACAAATTGACCCATCAGAGGTTTAGTGCTGTCTTCAAGTTAAAGTTTTGCGACACTGGCCTGTCCTAGGAAACCAGGCCTTAACCCATGATCCGTCTACCGCTGAGGATATTTTACGTCAACACTGTGATTAGTGCAAGCCGGTTGCAGAATTCGAATTGACCAGTCATCACTGGGATTCAAACCCGGTTCACCATAATGGGAGACGAACTCTCTATTCTCAGAGCCTCGATTCTTAGAGATAGTTAGTATTATTTCTTTTACTTCCGGCCGAATAAAAACGTGATAAAACAAAACGTATTGACGAATTCTGCAATGCCCGAGTTTACTCGGGATAATAAATATTTAAATCTTTACATACCCGAGTTAACTCGGGATAATGAATATTTAAATCTTCACATACCCGAGTTTACTCGGGATAATGAATATTTAAATCTATACATATCCGAGTTTACTCGGGATAATAAATATTTAAATCTATACATACCCGAGTTTACTCGGGATAATGAATATTTAAATCTTCACATACCCGAGTTTACTCGGGATAATGAATATTTAAATTTTCACATACCCGAGTTTACTGGGGATAATGAATATTTAAATCTATACATATCCGAGTTTACTGGGGATAATGAATATTTAAATCTATACATGTCCGAGTTTACTGGGGATAATGAATATTTAAATCTATACATACCCGAGTTTACTCGGGATAATAAATATTTAAATCTATACATACCCGAGTTAACTCTGGATAATGAGGGAAGCGTGGTTAAACTGTATTAAGTACCACCACGAGATATTTGATTAGATCATCATTCTTATTTCAGGTGAAAGCGTTGAGGAGAATGCCAATCTTGTCATTCGTCTACTCATTCGTCGTCCTGAATGTCTGGGTCCGGCCTTGCGAGGCGAAGGACCTGGATTGCTGGCTGCCATCAAGGATGCCATCAAAATGTCCGAGAAAATAACCGTCGAAAAATTAGCGGAAGGGTCGACTGAAGATGAGGATTACATCGACATGGGATCGGCCATCCTCAATTTCTACTGCTGTCTCGTGGACCTTTTGGGACGCTGTGCTCCAGAAGCTGCTGCCATTGCTCAAGGAAAGAATGACTGTATCAGAGCGAGGGCTATTCTCCGGTCTCTGGTTCCCATGAAGGACCTCGAAGGGGTGCTCGGTTTGCGATACAATCTCCTCACTCCTCAAGGTAAATACAGTTTGTCTAAAGTAAGAACTCCTATCACCATTCGTCTGGACCCGTGGCGGTGACTATGGTAACGAGGTATAACTATTTCATGTAGGGGTGTGGGGTCACTGTTTGAGACAGGTTTTGGATTGGGTCGGCTGGAGGAAGGGAATCTTTTTCTTCGATCTATTGTGTTAGTCCTAGAGGGAAGAGAAGCTGCCCTCCCTGAAATGCGCTATTCTTGGTTCCATAGCAACATACGGCCTATAACTTTGCGGCGGGAGGAGTTCTAACCGTAGACAAACTATACTGTGACACATACTAGAGATAAGTCCTAGATCAGAGACTTTACTACTTACTAGAGACTAAGACTGGAGACTTTTTATGTTTAAATAGTTTAAATACGAGAGCGTCTCATCCAGGTTTCGATAATTTTTTAAAAATTTGTATCAAAGCCGTTAGATATTTAATATGTAAGATATTTAATATAAATTCGTGAAGATTTAAATTCAAAACCTGCGAAGAGATAATAAAATACATTATCGAGATGCTTCTTAATTTTTACACCTAGTAAATGTTGACATTATTTTATACTTAATACTTGACTGAATGAGTGCATAGTTGCTGGTAACTAAATATAATTCTCGAAACAATTTAGGAAATCCGGATATTAGACAGTCGTTTTGAATGATTTATGTTTTTGCCATTTTGGGTTCATTTAGATCGGTATGTTTATTATCAATCGTTATAACTTTTTTGTTTTGCTTCAATAAACAATCCTCCTAAAAGAAAATTTGAAATTTTACTTGGAATAATAGCACTTATAAATGGTGTCTTCTTAACTTAAAGCCGCTACTAATTAAATTTGATTTATTTGATGTGAATGTAGGAGGCGAAAGTGATATGCCTATCGGTGTACAACCCAATCACAAGCAATCCATTGTTCTGTTCTTGGAGAGAGTCTATGGGATTGAGAGCCAAGACACATTCTTCCGTCTCTTGGAAGATGCTCTTTTGCCAGATCTGAGAGCCGCTACAATGCTAGAAAGGGTAAATTTATATAATATTATTCAGATATTCTGTGAACGACTGTACTTGAGATTTTTAAAATTCTACTTGATATTTTTCAAAAATTAATTATGAAACAGAATTAGTTAATAAATTTTTTTCTTCTAAATTTCACCGCTAGAAGGCGGCATTTTCAATGAAGTACACATTCTTGGCCTATAATTTTTTTTTCAGGAATAAACAACAACTGATAAGCATCGTTGTTACAAATTAAAGTTGTTCAAGCACAATTTTTTTTGTCAAGTTTCCGTACATAATAGCTTTTTTTTTAATTTTTTAAAAACCATCGTTGAACAGTAGACGCAATTTTGAGTTTACAACTACTAATGTCCAAATCCGGTGCCTTACAATTTAGGGTGCCTTATAATTTAACAGAAGACAAGGGAATCCTGGATCAAGTAGTGGTAAAACTTTTCCTTCGTGGAGGTATCTTTGATGAAACTTACCCGCATTTGTGTAACATGGAGAGTGAAACCACGAAAACCTCCTATGGTTCGCCTGATGGCAAGGGGACTCTTACCCATGATCCGTCTACCACTGAGGATGTTTTACGTCAGCATTGTGGTCGGTTCAAGTCCGATGAGGAATTCGTATCGACGCTGGGTTAGGAAACAGGTTCATCTCATTGAAAGGCGAACGCTCATCAAGGTTCGGATTAGCTTCTCTGTTAAAAAGACGTCTATCACTGAAAAACGTTTCACTTGTCACGACTTATGAGATCCCCAGACCCCTTTGAGGGTTTTGGTAATCCAAGATCTTAAAGACGACATCTGAACACATTGATTTCAACGGTGGAACTTGGCGTTTCCAGATGGTATCTGATACATTTTGTTGACCTTTGAAATGAAGTATATATAAACAATTGTTTGAAAACGTCCTCTGGTGGCGAAATAATGAACTGCTTCTGTTCTATCATTTCAGTTTGATGGATCAGAGAGTGAAATGGCGCTGGCATTGAATCGTTACATCGGCAACTCTGTGATGCCTCTTCTCATCAAGTACTGCCACTACTTCGGAGATGCTGACAATTATGCTAATCTTCTGGATGCAACACTCCACACCATCTACAAACTCTCCAAAGTTAAAATATTGACAAAAGGTCAGAGAGAGGGAGTCTCTGATTTCTTGGTGGCTCTCACTCAGTAAGTGTTTTCTAACTTTCTTTAGAGTTCGACTTGAAACATATTGAGAAAAAAAGAAAGGGGATTTCGTGGTATTTTAGGTGTCCAATAGTTTATGTCGTTCTAATCCAATAGTATAATACCGTCTCTTAAACGTTGGAGGCGTAACAAAATTTTCTAAAACTTTAAAATGCATGCCAATATCTTTGAAGTGACCAACAAAGCATTCTGAAAATGTTGTTTGCCCTTTCATTTTGCAATCTATTGATGGGATTTAATGATCGACCTTATCGAGCCTCATCTGTCAAAAGGTACCTTAAAATAGAATAAAGTTAACGTTTTATATACTAGTGAATTGGTATTTAATATTTATAGTGGTAGTTACGCCACACTATCTCATTGTGATGAACTTTGTTAACGCTTATGGTTAGCCTTCGTTTTAATGGCTTGCAGTCGGTAGCTGCAAATCTGATTCAGATAGATTGTTATAAATTGAGAGAGGCTGATTTTAAAAATATGATCTGAGATGGATTGAAAAAAAATACAGCAGAGTCTCCCATCAGAGAATTTTTGTCTGAAAGTTTTAATCGGAACGCTAACGAGGTGGTATTTTCTGTAAAAAAAGGTTCTAAGACATTTTTTTTCCTCGTATTTGAAATTTTTCAGACGTTTATCTTTTTGTTTCTAATGAAGAAAGTTTCTGCAGTCTCTCACACGTGTACTAATTATTCTTGGTACCACTGGCATTTTTTATTCTGAAGATAAAGTACAGAGTGCTAAAAAAAGAAAAACAAACAGACCACCTAGAATAGCTTTTAATCTGTAATCGGATCTTCACGTTCTAGGACTTATTCTTAATGGTTCGAGACTTCATATATTCTAATTAATTTGTGTGGATGTTATTTTAAGTTACAAAATCACTCACAAAAGCGTACTTTTTTCTAAACACATCGATGGATTTTTGACCAACGAAATATAAGAGCTATCTTCAAAAAATTTCTGAATTTTAAGGTATGTAATTTCATCTTAAAGTCTATAATTTTACAAAATATAAATCGGTTGAATAGTTCCTGAGAAAATCGGATTTCATATTTGTTTTCTCAGGAACCGTTAAAATTCTGAATTAAAATTACACATTTTAAAATGACGTAAAATATTACATAACTAAAACTTCAAAAAATTTTCGACTATTATCAAAAAAGAAAAAATTATAAAAATAATAAATACCAAAATTTATTTTTTGCATGAAATTATCTTTGGACTAATGAGTTTTATAAGTGTGTGCAAATTTTTTCAATTCGTTCAAAAAGTTCTCGAGATGGACGAAAAAAGCAAAAAGTAAAATTAGAGTTAAGGGATCGCTCTACTCTTGACCTAACTACGAGGGTTCTATTTCCTAGACTACCCTTCTATATTTTGGAGGTCTGGAATCCCAATTCGTTGGAGAAAAAAAAGGTATGTTTATTCAGCGAAAATTCGTTTTTGTGTCTGAGTTTGTAACTTAAAATATCGTCTGCACTAATTAATTAGCCTATTTGAGGTAACCCTCTTAAACTATTAAGAATGAGTCCTAGAACGTGAGGATCTGATCATTAGATTCAGGGTAGTACATTTTTTTCTGATGCACTGTAGAACAATAATAATCTGAAAGGACTTATTTCCACCTTTTTAAGTTTCAATATTTATACTACATCATTCACAACTAAAAATATTGCAGTATTTAATAAATAATCGAAAAATCTTTAATCCGAATATAGCAATATTTTCTATATAACGAATTTTAAATTAGAGCCAATAGATTTCGCTTGCTTTATTTCAAACACTTTTAATAGCATTTAAGTATTGGATTTTGAGAGATGAATGGATTTATGAGAATTCTTCTTTCTTTTAATTCCCGAATAATTAGATTTTTCCTCTTTAATTTAGTGAGATGCAACCGAGTATGTTGGTGCGTTTGTTGCGAAAGTTAACTGTGGATGTTTCTGTGCTCACTGAATATACAACTGTAGCTCTAAGAGTGAGTAAACAACTTTTTTTGTCACATAAGAGTTTATTTCAATAAAGATATTTCAAAAATGATTCTAAAAAATTGTATTTATGCTACGAAGTCAAGGTCGGTATTTATTTATTTTTTTTTTTTTGGAAGAATGATATTTCTTTCATGACTCTGGCGGACGAAACGGGAACAAAACCAGAAGAAAACTGAAACAAAACCAAAAGTACCAATTCAATTGTTTGCCGATTAGCATTTAAATAGTAAATAGTAATTCGAAGAAATAAAAATTGATTTATTGCGAGAAAGTACTAAAGTAAAAGTAAAACTTTTACTTTTTTTTAAAAAAAGAAAATAACTACTTTCATTTTACTTTGATACTGGATAGTTAACCAATTACAATAATTTATTTTTAAATTGAATTCATACTATCGTAAATTAATATCTTCTATTTATGAAATTGTATCATGATTTTTTTAATAATTCAGTAAATCATGTTCTTTTATACAGTTGTTTAATTTTTTTTTAATAAATTGAATGCATCGTTTATTTTTTATTTGTTAATAAACAGATTCATTAAACAGTTTAAAAACAAATGCGATTGTTTAAAAAGGACTGCAATTATAAACTGGTTTAAAAATTATTTTAATAATGGATGTTTCTTGTTTTTTAAGAGTTTTTTCGCTTTCTTCTGCTCGGGTTAAGGGATATTTATTTCATCGTGTGTAGTTCATTTAGTTGTTTGTAGTTTGGAAGAAACTTATGTTTATGCCATCTCTGTTTGAAGCTGAATTTGGAACTAAAATTCACTTTATATTTACTTTCTACCAATAAATAATTCGACTGTTTTCTCATCCTTAAAATCAAAGTTCCTGCGAAGAGTTCAATAAAATGAAAGAGTTTTATTAATTACCAATATGTGCGAGAGGTATTCGTTGGCCACCGGCTGGTATCGAACCAGAGACCTTTGGGTCTCCGATGCTCTAACCGCTAAAAAACAATAATAGATTTTTATCATAGAAGGTGCTGATGGCAATCTGTTTCTACTTCAGTTGCTGACCCTTCATTTTGATCGTTGTGGAAAGTATTATGGATCACCCGGAGGACAGGGTGCCTACGGAGCGGCATCCGAAGAAGAGAAGAGGCTGACGATGATACTCTTCACAAATATCTTCGACTCACTCGCAAAAATGGTAATCACAATCTTCCTTAATTAACACTGTTCTGTCATTTTTGTTTCTGTAGAAAAGAACTCAAAACTGTTTTTGTTCAAAAGGAATACGATCCCGATCTGTTCAATAAGTCACTTCCTTGCCTGACGGCCATCGCCTGCGCCCTTCCACCCGACTACTCCCTCACTCAGAGCGGAGATGATGACCAATGGTATAAAGAATCTGGACCCACAGATGGACCTTATATGCCAGAACCCATCACAACCACTATGTAAGGAAAAAAAAACTCTTGATTCTCTCGCTTCTTACTGAAATGGAATTATGTCATAATATATCTTTAACTCATTTCAGGGTACAACTTACACCAGACCTAACAAATGTGATTGTCAAGTTTGCCGAACATTTTCACGACGCATGGGCCATTCGAAAGGTAGATTTTCATATAACTGTATATATATGTGTGTGTGTGCCTATATATATTGATATATA